GTCTTAATTTCTGGAGGGTCTTCGTTATTCCCAGATGTGATTCCATGATGGATTTCTTTGAGCACCTCCCGTCGTCTGTTCCTGAGTACCACTGTCTGGCGCCTTCATTCTCCAACGTCTTCAGACTCCAACACCCACTTCAGAACCCCGTTTTCCATGTTAAGAGAGTTCCATTGGGCTCAGTAGGACTTAACAGCTGGCGAATAACCTACCTCTTGCCACGATGGCCTTTGATTATTTTTCTTCCATCCGATGACTAAACCAAGATATCGATCTTTCTTTTGGTTTTCTCTGATCATATTGTCCTTCCAGTTGTCATCTACAGCTGTAGTTCTATAAATAGCCGCTTCCTACTCTTCTGCTCGTCAGTAATGTGAGGAGCCATCGGGACATGGTGTACGTGAAAGGGCATCTGCGTTTCTTACGGGGGTTTGCTGGATACAGGCTGACGATTTTTCCTTCTCACGGAATCTCTCTAGTTTTCTTGATTTGGTGTTGGTTCTTTGAATGCTTGGACATTTGCTACGCACATGCCCGATTTTCCCACGTTTCCAGCATCTTATTTGTTTTCTTTCAGACAAAACTCCTTTTCTCAGCTTTCTAATAGTGGCCTCAATATCAGCAGAACCCTTTCCGTCTTCCTCCATAGTATGAACTTTACTCTGGCCCTTGCTGGATTGTTTTACAGCCTCAAGCTCCAGAGATCTTGCCAGTGCGTCCACGAGATGTTTGGGACGAGCTAGTCTCAAGGTCTGCCTCGTTTCTTGGTCGCGAAGTCCATCCAAGAATGCCTGAACTGCTAACCGCTCCATTACATTTTCGGGTGTAGCAGGATATGCCAGACGGACCAATCGAGCTATGTCGGCTTCAAACTCCTGTAGGGATTCTCCTGATTTTCTGGCAGCGGTTCTTCAGCTGTGAATGGTAAACGTGTTCTAGGTGTGCCTGTCCATACCGTAGCTCAAGATGCTTTATGAGTTGGTCATATTCTTCCTGTTCTTGGGCCGTGAGGGTTTGAAAAATATTCGTTGCTTCTCCACTCAACGCCAGTGTTAATGCTACCGCCTTTTCTCCTGCATTCCATCCATTTGCTCTGACTGCAGCTTCGAATTGCCGGCGGTAATTTTCCCAGGGAGTTTTTCCGTCGAACTAGGGCGGCTTCATAGAGAGCTTTCTTAGTTTAGAAATACCTTTGACATCTTTCAGTTCGGGAATCGAGTTTTCGGTAACACATTCTGCGGTGTGGGCAGAATTAACGATTTGGTTTTGCAAATTGTTAATTGTTTCCTTCATCTTGCTGATTTCTGCCTCAAATCCGCCTATGATTTCATTGCCTAACTTTTTTTCCATTTTCTTCATTTCTGCTCCGATTTCATATTTGATCTTCCCTTTGATTTCCTCTCTGATTTTGTCTATCTCTGTCTCGATGATTCCTATCCTTTCTTCGAGTAGGCTCGCCACACTACAAAGCTCTTTCTTCAAGCATTCTGCATTTTCTAGAAGTTCTTCCTTCAAGCTATTCGAATTCTCTAGGAATTTATCTTCGAAACCCATCGAACTTTGTTGAAGTTCATCTAGTTTACTCATTATTGAACTCAAATCAACCCCAGAAACTTCGAATAAATATGCTTCGGGATCTTCTTCTGATTCAATCAGGTTATCCCATAGTCTCTTCTGGAGTACTGATTTTTTCCCGGAAGAATCTAGCTATCTCTCGTCCAATTCTTGCTTCAATTCGGCGACTTTCAAGTCTACTAGGCGCACTTTCCTCCAACACATTTTGTCTCTTATTGTCCATTTTCCACAAAATTGAATACGTCCACTTATTTCAATCGAGTCCGAAACACTTATTTATTTTCACAAGTCTATCAGTTTATGTTTCCGTAGTCCGGTACTGTCCACTTCACGAAAAACAATGAATTAACAGTCTCTACGCGAACAAATAAGTCTTATAGTCAATTTCACCGTAATATAAAGTGTCCACCAAGCGTCCACTTCTGATCACCAATTGTAACGAATTAAAGAATTAACTGTCTTAAACAAATTTAATTTTAACAATATTTCACTATCACAACTAATTTATATACAACACTTAGCAACCAACGCTTAATGTATCTTCACGGTTAGAATTCTTTCTTTAAACGCACGATTCACTTTCTAGATACAGATAACGGTCAGGGCCGGCTTCATATTCATTACAATACTAAAATCTATGAAGGTCGCACATTCTGCCTCGCAAACCAAAATTCTGATGTATGTTTTAAAATTCATCAGAAATTATGAGTATTGTGTCTTGAGAACAACCCACATAACAAGTTTTTCATAACTTATTGTCACAGAAATGTAATGTTCAATCTGTGAGAATCAATAGGATTAGGTACTACGTACAAAGTTTCTAGAAAGATATCAAATTCACTTAAGCTACGAGATCCGTAGTTTTAATTGTTCGGTGTCTAGGATGTTTGCAAACACATGTGCTGATTCTATGACAGTTGAAAGAGCACGATGGTGGAAATCATCTTCAGTTGCTGAAACCTACATTGAAGACTCAGTTGCTACATAAATTACGCTGTCTCAGCATAGAATGAAAAAATAATGTGATTCAACTGCCAGCAGTAGGTATATATCATACTCGGTATCCCCACTAAAATTATTGAAAATGTATCGCTTTAATCTCGCAGTTGATGAGACGAATGAAAATATTGAATCTGATAGTTGAGAAATGATAATTAGTAATAACTGTTATTGTTCGAAGTAAAAATCTATGATAAACCCAATGTTGAAAGTTCGGTTTCAATTTTCAGTATAATAATAAAAAATTCCCATATGTTTTAGACTTCAGTGACTAAGAAAATTAAATTGAAAATCTATTGAATATATTGAAAATAAAAATTTTGTTAGTTCAACTTGTATTGAGTATCAAAATTTCAAATTCCAATAAAAACTCCATCTTGGATAGACATCATATTTTAAAAAATATAGTTTTCCTAATGCGAGTGGAAATTTCCAATTCAGAACATATAATGTTACTCTTTTCTGGTATGAAACATGTACTTTCTGTGTGAAACTCAGAAGAGTGCTTTCTTTACATTTTCTCAATAAAACAAAAAAAATTATTATTATCATTTCGAATGCGAGTAATTTTTCGTAATATGTGATGGAATTTAACTTCAACTAGTTTCATTCATATTATATCTCACATTATCTCAGTGGATATCGATTGATTCGTATTTTGGTTCGCATGGTAGAAAGTAAAACCCCCCGTTAGTCTATAGAAGATTTGTGATGTTAAATATATCGGGACTGAATATTTTTTATTGAAAGCTTTTATTTAACTTGACTTGTATGTATGTTAACAAATCTTGAAAGTTTAATTTGACTCATTTCCCGGTATCCGATTAACCTGAAATTTTGCATGCTGGTCCAAAACCGTTGACAATGCATGTTAATCATAAACGTGACATGATGCTGCTGCCAGTATCGGCTCCGTACGAGAGACCTCCTCAGCGGTAAATAGCAGGGACACGAAATTTTGTATACGTATTTGTTTATGATAGGCAGTTGGTAGGCCCACCATAAAATAGATGCCATATCCAGGGATGGCTTCAATAAAATAAATTTATTTCTAGAAAAAAAATTAAATCAAGCTTTTATCTTTAAATACCTACTTCCCGACCCTAAAAAGAAGACAATAAATGGTGTAGTAGGTTGTAAGAACTCATATTTATTTGAATTGTAAAAAAATATTATCTGCCACCCTCTAAGTTCTCAGAGTAAGAGGGTCCATCACGCAATGTGAGCAACAGGCACAAAAGGTATACCATGACTTGTGTAATTTGGTGAACTGGATGTCATTAGCATTGGTCTGCAACCCGTTTAGGAGAAGGAAAACTCCAAAATCAAATCCGGAACGGTGTTTCGTCAGGCACGAGTAAGCTCTATGCTGAAAAAAGTGGTGCTTCTTTCATCAAATTACTACCCAAGTCAAGGTGAGGCCGTGCCGAGGACTGAGTGGCATCAGGGTGTGAAATGATGTCGTGAACGTACCACGTCAGGGCACCACCGGAGCGCACCCTGTTGTATATCAGCTCTTTCCCTGCTAAACGAAGCTCTGGGAGGGTTAACAAATATTCCTCCGGTACTCGTGGGAACACTATAGGAAATAAACAAACATCAACACGACGAAAGAGAAATTGAAACTAAATGAAAAAATTGAAAATGAAAGCGTTAACTTGAAACGCCAAAGATCTCCTGGTAGAGGAATTAGACTGTTCGAAATTAACTGGGACTCGGCCATGTAATAATGATGCCATCAATGAAACGAATAGACTAAGAAATATAACAAGCTAATTCTTCTATAAGGTATGCCGGAGGAGTAGGTACCTACCTGCTTCTAAAGAATATAGTTTATCCTAATAATAGTTTTCCCCCTTCCTTAAGTTTTTCTGTTGAAGGACTCTCCGTTTTATAGATGGACTTTCGAATTGATCGTTAACTATCGATTGAAACTATTTATTTAAGTGCTCTAAAAAGATCGAAATAAAATTTTAAATCACATTAACCACATTCATTTAGGCACCTACTAAACTTGTAAGCAATTCATAATGTTTGTAATTGAATAAAAGTGCCGTGAATGCTCAAAATGTGGAACTTTAACCTTGGATAACTTTTTTGCACACATAGGATTTATCGGGTTTGAAATTTATTGCAGTACCTAGTTGATCTTTCAGAATGTTTCTTAATTTTAATTCCATCCGACTGAATATGTAGAGATTTCTTCTAGGTATCGCGACAAGCTTTTATTGTAATTTCAATTCTGTAAAGTCATAAATGAATGTGGTTAATGTGATTCAAAATTTTATTTTGATCTTTTTAGGGCACTTGAATGAAAACTTGTTTTAAGAGTTTTTTATCATTAAGTGTTTCGTATTTTCTACGGTATCTATGTTACTGAAACCTTTTTTCAAAAACAACATTTCACACCTTATTTTCACTTTCAGATTGGGTAATAGAAGACGAAGGTTGTATAACACCCGATGGTGAATCCGGAGACTGCACACCTATTCGACAATGCCAGCCTATGGTTGATTTTCTCTCAACGGCTAAAAGACCATTATCAAATTCAGCAAGTAAAAGATTGAACGCATTCACTTGTAGCTTCGCTTCTAATCAGGTTTGGGTGTGTTGTCCACCAGGACCAATTGTTATTCCTAACGAACCCGTCGTCGCGACTCCTCCAACTGTGGAACCAGAGAGGCCGCCACCAGATGTTACACAGCACAGAAATTACCGTATGTTGCCGCAGGAATGTGGATATCTTGAGACAGGTGATAAAATTAGGAATGGTGTCAACGCCAGTCTCAATGAATTCCCTTGGATGGCACTTCTGTCATACAGAACCCGTAAGTAAACGTAACTTTCAAAAGGCCAATAGAATATTGGTCCTAACAATTGAACTTTGATACAGTGTCTTGTGATAATGCATTTCTTCAGATTAATTGCAAGAATTCACTTTAGTCAGACAACAATTCAGTCTGTAATCCAACAAAAATCCAATAAAATTCCACCAGCCTGTGTAAAATAACCAACAATGTTAACAAAAATCCCCTTTCCATTTCAGAAACCTCCACAGATCGTAAATTTGAGATTACAAACACATTTTATATCGATAATCTTCAACTGTACGTGAACAAAAAATTCAAATCAGTCCTTAATAGTATTGAGATAGTGAACCTGTTCTTTCAACATGGATTTCATTTCAAGTTGTTATACGTATATACGAGATTATGCTATAAAACTGTATAACTTCCTCATCAATTTCCTTCAAGCATGATGAGGTTCAGAATGCCTGTCAAGTTTTGTCAAAAATATAAAAGATCAGTAATGACATTTTCGAAAACGACCCGTCAGAAAATTTTCCATTATTGTTTCATTGAAATTTTTGAAGTATAAAATTCGCAAAGAGAATAGTTCATTCAGTCAGTGAAGTTTCAATTTACTTCTATAAAAACAGGAATCTTTTTGGTGTAGGAGAAAAAAATTGCCAGGTGCAATTCCAGCAATGAGAATTTGAAATCTACCATTTAATAAATCCAAATGAACTATCATTTTGATGATGATTTTTCCCTCTCAACCAAAAGGAGGCCCAATACAATAATTTTCATATTAATTTTCATTCAAGACATAACCTGAAAGCCATGATCCTGAGCGCAAGCATGTTCTGATTAGTTTTTGGAAACGGCTTTTCAAACAGTAATGAATTAGGATATCATTAGAGAAATAATTATTCTCTCCAATCGTTCTATTCAAAACCCCGAGGGTAATATCTATTCCTAGTTGGGGGTTGAAATATTTCTTGAAATTGCCCTCTTTGAAAATAAAAATGAACAATTTTTTCGATTTTCAATATTATTTTCCACAAGAGTTTTTACATTCATACCCTGTATAACATGCATATAAATTCATGCTAATAGTTTAAAACTGATAACATTCAATTGTTATTAATGAAAATTAATGAAAAAAATAATCTGTATATCTAAACCAAATTACATTCCACACAGCATTTATTTGAATTGACATAATTTGTTATGTTTCAGATACTTCCTGAATAACTGAGTATTCATTATTGCATTTGATAATAGTATATTATTTTAATAGTTTGAATGAGTTGTTGACTGAATTGGCATTCAATCTTTTAATAGAATACCTACTTGATATGAATTTTGCAGTACAATAATCACCTCAACCATTCACTGGAAAATGTTCAATTTGTATCTATTTGACCTTGCTAATTATTAACATTGTTACATGAAATGAAGTTAATAATGTTTATGGTTCGGTATCTATAAATAATATAAAATTAATTCGACTGATTGTTTATGGACAAGTATATTAGGTAAGCCAATTCTGATAAAAAAATTTCATATTGGGAACTGTAATAAAATCAACTTCACTGTCAATTTGTGTTCATAAGGGTGAAACTGGAATTGTTTGAAAGCTGAGAAAATAAATTGGTTGTCTCAACTTTTTAATAAGATAATTTTTGATGTGAAACATCTAATGCCTCACGTAAAACCGACTGCTGAAGTGGCGACAGGTCGCCATGCGCAAGCGACTATGCGATTTTCTTACCACTGGTTCGGCGTTGCGCTATCTTTCTCGCCACATTGAGCTCGGAGACCTATAGTGCATATAGTTGTATTTACTACAGTATACTCAACCTGTTTTTACTAAATGAATGATTTTTATAAATAATTGAAAAATAGTATAAATTAGACAAAAGTTATTTCTTTATTCCATATGAAAATAAAATAAGTCTGACAGTGGTGATTCATGAAAAGAGCAAGACTCCTGCAAAGAAAGCAAAATCAAACTAATGAAGTCATCAGTAAGTTAATTATAGTTTTCTATTTTATAATTGAAGTGGGCATTTATCTGTGCATTACCCTACGTATTTTTGGTCTGTCTCAAGTGTCAGGAAATGTAAAATTTACTCTTTTGGTAGAACAAAATTTGCAAAATTTTCAAAGCATATAATATTTTTATATCGATTGTTAATTAATGTCTTTCTTCTGAAAAATAATGCTCTTTAACATTTGCTTGAAGAATAAATTTCATAAAGACTGACAAAATTGTATTTCAAAATCAGTTGATAGCGAGTAGTGCAGGAAAGTTTTTTTCATTTATTATTAACAGCAACATCAAAAAATTAATTATTCAAATAGTTTTCCGATGATGGTGGAATTTATATTGAAATCTTACAATTTGAGATCTTCAGTAATATCTGTATCTGTAGAGTAGGAGAAGTGAGTATAAGCCCACAGCAGTTGTGACATGTGACCCATTGTACATCCTCTCGAGGAGTTGTCCTCCTAGGTCATCTATGTGGACAGGTCACTGGGAGACATCTCCTTTATATCGGCAGGGGTAGGCCAAGATTCGCCGAACACACACTCTCTTATTGACGATAACTCCGGGCACTCGCACAGGACATGCCTGACAGTCTCATCTTCCTGTTCACACATCCTGCATAGAGGTGTGTCCACTAGCCCCATATTATGTAGGTGTTTCCTTAGCTGACAGTGGCCAGTCAGAAATCCTACTGTAAGGCGTAGATTTTTCCTGGTCATCGCCAGATATTTCTTCGGCGCCAGCTTCCCAGGGTCGCCCAAGGTGATCCTGGCAAGATTGCATCCTTTGATTCCATCCCATTTCTTTAGAGATTGAGTATGGGTGTAACATTTGGCTGGTTCCGCAATTGTCGAAATCATCAGGCCATAGAACATAGAACATAGAACAATAGTGTTCTGAAAATATGCGACTTCAACATTTGGCGTTTGTCGAAAGGTAGTGTGACGTCATTCGAAATGCAAGATTGTTATGAAGCGAAGAATGTTTGAAGTTTGAAAGAAGATGTGTTTAGTCCAGAAAAGTTATAAGGCAGACACAAGTAACCACAGGCAGTATTATTCATGGTTATGAAATACTTCAATATAGCTGAGGATAATTTTTTTCATAAAACTCAACAATTAAAAGCATTCGTCCACCCCTACCATTCAAATTTAAATTTTTTGCAGAGATGAGAAAAAAAGTGGGGCAATATTTTTCAAAGCGTTTTTGTGTGAAGATGCTTAAAAGTGATTTTTTATCCTCTTCATCGAAATGTATATTATAGTTACTTTATATATTTGATGTATTTAAATTTTTACAAAAAGATCATTCAAAGAACTCATTTCTTCGCATAGCAATTTACAAGTCTGACTTGATTTCTTCATTATTGGTAACAATTACAATTTCTTTGGTGCACCTCAATTGAATGAGTACAACAATTTTTTGACTTTTTTGTTTGCCATACTTTTCCAACATAGGACGCTGAATATGAACAACCAACCCTGGAGATCCTATTGTGAAGCAGCCGAAGACTTCCCACTAGCTTCTAGGCTACAGAAGGCACTCTCAAATGACCACCATAAGAGTATCGGCATCCTGACGAAAGAAAATGGCGACAAAGCCGCCAACCTCCAGGAGAGTGCTGAGATTCTTATGGAAACTCACTTCCCAGGTTCTGTCTTTCCTGGAATGACGAACTGGACGGATGTACCAACAACACCCTCACAATACGACTGGCAATATGCTAGTACAGTAATTGATGAGGACAAAATAAGATGG